GAACATGTTTTGTTTTTGTGGCTCAACGTGTTTAGGCCGAATATGTTCGTGTTCGTTCCAACATCCCTTTCCGACGAACGCAAATCTGCTCGTTAAAAAAGGTTGATGAAACACACTAATCAAGCTCAATTTTTAGCTCGCCTTTTTTCCCAACCCTCCTTCCACAGCCTAGACTGGAAGCTCCAGCAGCTAGGGTACCTAGACTCTAATGAAATAGTTGTGGTGGAACAAAAATCTACTTGTTTTATTTCCTTCACTCCCAAACGTCCACCAAGTATAGCCACACCAACCTGGATGCCAAAATCCACCATCCAGGATCATGTGTCTTGAAGACTGCTGATATGGCCAACACGAACATGTTCGCCCCAAACATGCTTGTTTTTGGGCAAGCATCAAGGTGTTCACCTCCCAAAGGGGAACACCCGAACACCTTCCTCCACCTTCCTCCCTGGAAGTGTTCGGGCAAACATAAACATGTTTGGTACGCTGAACATGTGTGTTCGATGCAAGGCAAACACGTCACCTTCAAGTTCGCCCCGAACATGTTCACTAGCCCAGGATGTGCATGTTCAAGCTCAACTTTTCAACATCCGTGCACTAGCCCAGGATGTGTAGAATGGGCTACTATTTATGATATGGGCGGCGGTTTCAGCAAGTTTATATTTCCAGCTGGTTTCTTCCATAAACGCCCTAAACACAAGGCAAACACGAACATGTTCGCCCTGAACATGCTGGGCCAGAAACAATCAAGTGTTCGCCCTTCTGCTCATGTCTACTTGGCATGGTAAAGTATTACAACGTGTTACCATAAATCCCAAATACCAACCTCTAAGCGCTTTAGTTAGAGCTGAAACCCATTCCCGATCCATAGTTTGAAAACGCTCCATATGCAGCTGCGGTCACATGCTCCGTTCGAGAACCCGTTTCGCATGCACGAACATATCCTCGACTGCAATCACATGCCCACCTGACTACAGCAGCTGCATGGTCCCACAGACCAATTCAAGTGCTTTTTGCAGCCAGTGCGGTTCCTTCTGCACCACATGTGACAAGCCACCACCAGGTAAGGCTAACCTTATGCAGGTGGCTGCTGCTTTCACAGCCCATTTTTGCTTTGCTCTCATTAGCGCTAAGAGGATGAACAATGCATAGCCACCTACTTAGCTAGCTTTTCCACTGTCAGGTGCGGTAACAATTACAGCTTCGCTACTCCCTGAGATTTACCGCAATTCCCAGAGTGTGTCTATTCCATCTGCCATCGGCAATATGAGAAACCTCTATTGGTTGTAAGTATTATGAAGGGAATAGGAAAGAGAGCCAACATAACCTCGCACAGGTTCAGAAATTAGAGGGCCTGCAATGGCAACACCAAGTCAACTTGATTTGAGAACGAGCATACATGCTAGGCATGACCAATGTGCACGCTCACAAGTTTTAACTCATTCTCGTGTCCTGATATGCATTTCCACCACCACTGACATTTTGTAATGTGTATCCCTTTGTGTTGCTTCTCAATGTCTACATATTTGCATGTTTGTGTGAGGCTCAAATAATTGCCCATTGTTTTCATTCGCTTTTCTTTTTGAAAGGGCTACTTCTTGCACACTGTGCTATATAGTCGATGGTAACGTTTAGCACCTGTTTATCAGGCACCGTTTAGAGTAGGTAGCTTGTATCACAATCATATTTCACCATGTTATGAGTTCTTTAGTCCTTGTTGTTTGATATCAATCCTCCCTCTCCTACTATTCAGTTGATTCATTTGTTATTCTTGATTGAATTTCATGGCACCTTCCCATGTGCTTGGTAACTAGTGTTTTGCCGTATCTTTTTTTAACACATTTGAAGCCCTTTATGTGTAATCTTACCACTCGTAAAACCCATCGCATGTTTCACCTTAAGGTATCTCAACCACAATGCGCTGACTGGGTCCATTCCATCCACCATCGGCAACATGACAAACCTCAGAGACTTGCGAGTAACATCAAGAGATCATAAAGAGAGCCAACATGACCGCTCACATGCTCATAAATATGAGGCCCAGAGCTGGCAGTTAAGAAAACGTCTGGTCTTTGCTCAACTTGACACAACTCCCAACTCGACTTCCACTCAAAGTGACTTGAATCGACTCGACACATGAGCATGTCTGACCCACGTTGTACCTATCCCAGAAAGGGAGAGTCCAGAAAATGCATCTGCATTGAAGAGTAAACAGCTTTGACTTATTCAAACCGTAACCCACATGTGTCCAACGCGACTCATGAGTCGGGTATTGTGGGTCTCGGTCGAACGGGAACAGGATTTTACTGAAGACCAGAACCCAGCAGGACTTATTGTAGTTGTCATAATCTTCCTAACGCGGGGTTGACTAGCTTGATCCTAGGCTTGTTTAAAACGTGGATTCACCCCTTAGTTTATCAGTTTTAAGGGTGAACTGGGGCCTGCCCTTGGCTATGACTAAAGAGAGGGGCTGCAATGGAAGCATGAGCAGCCTAACAAGTGGTTTGTGCCTTTATGCACTCTTGCTTTGATACTTCAACATCACTCTTTCCCAGGTTTACGTGAGCATGGTTTTCAGCCATGCCTCAGGACACCGTAAGGAACTCATAATGCATGCAGTGTGTAACACAATGTCGGGTCGCTTGAGCTCATTGAGAGATCTTGCACTGGCTATAGGTTGGAGGTATATATAAAACCTAGCGCCGAATTGTGACTTCTTTGGCTTAACCTTCTTCCGCCCAACAAACATCTTATGTTGATTTTGGAATGTGTTTTGCCTGGTTGGGAAATATCTCACATGAAGCAGGTTATGCATCTCATGCTTGACTGGACTCTGTCACATTGGGTGAACAAAAATCTCTATTGCAACTTAACCATGTTGACCTGGAATAGCCTAATAAGATATGCGTCCTCTGCCACAATCCACAGCTTTTCCATCTCCTGTGACTATCTCCTAACATCAACCAATCTTTGGCTTATTCCTTTGTGTTTCCATCCCTGTAAAGGTAAATCTCTTGCATGTATGCACGGTTAGGTATCTTGTTAGCAATGCTTTGACTGTTTCTATTCTGTCTTTTATCTGTTTCCATCCTCTACAGTGACGTCAGCCAGAACAACCTCACGGGCCAACTCCCTCCAACAATAGGCAACCTCGAACTTCTCTCAAAGCTGTAAGGCACTTAGCATTGTAGAAATGCTTGAGAAATATGTCGCGTAACCAAAGCGAGGCAAGGAGATACAAGCAAAACATGAACCAATTGACAGAATTCGAAGAGGGCTAGCTTGGAGGCGACTTGGGCTGGTCCAAGTGAAGAAAGTGTTCCCCAATGGACTTGGGGTGCCAAATGGATGCTCAACTCACCCACAGTCGAGATAGGGATGTGGGTAACAAAGTTTGCCAAAGCGCGTTTCCAATGCTGGACTTCGTGCATCCAGGCTGGAACCGCGAACTCAAGGTTGAGAAACGTGCTTAATTGGGGTACCTAGCTGTTGATAAAATTTACTCGAGGAACACCCTATAACTAATATGACCAAACCTTAATGTCTACACTAATTCTATGTACACAGGGTATATGTAATTAGACATATACAGGATACATGTAAGACACAAACACGAGGGCACGCACCTGCTCAGTGCGCCTCGAACATGTTTTGTTTTTGTGGCTCAACGTGTTTAGGCCGAATATGTTCGTGTTCGTTCCAGCATCCCTTTCCGACGAACGCAAATCTGCTCGTTAAAAAAGGTTGATGAAACACACTAATCAAGCTCATTTTTAGCTCGCCTTTTTTCCCAACCCTCCTTCCACAGCCTAGACTGCAAGCTCCAGCAGCTAGGGTACCTAAACTCTAATGAAATAGTTGTGGTGGAACAAAAATCTACTTGTTTTATTTCCTTCACTCCCAAACGTCCACCAAGTATAGCCACACCAACCTGGATGCCAAAATCCACCATCCAGGATTATGTGTCTTGAAGACTGCTGATATGGCCAACACGAACCAGTTCGCCCCAAACATGCTCGTTTTTGGGCAAGCATCAAGGTGTTCACCTCCCAAAGGGGAACACCCGAACACCTTCCTCCACCTTCCTCCCTGGAAGTGTTCGGGCGAACACAAACATGTTTGGTACGCTGAACATGTGTGTTCGATGCAAGGCAAACACGTCACCTTCAAGTTCGCCCCGAACATGTTCACTAGCCCAGGATGTGCATGTTCAAGCTCAACTTTTCAACATCCGTGCACTAGCCCAGGATGTGTAGAATGGGCTACTATTTATGATATGGGCGGCGGTTTCAGCAAGTTTATATTTCCAGCTGGTTTCTTCCATAAACGCCCTAAACACAAGGCAAACACGAACATGTTCGCCCTGAACATGCTGGGCCAGAAACAATCAAGTGTTCGTCCTTCTGCTCATGTCTACTTGGCATGGTAAAGTATTACAACGTGTTACCATAAATCCCAAATACCAACCTCAAAGCGCTTTAGTTAGAGCTGAAACCCATTCCCGATCCATAGTTTGAAAACGCTCCATATGCAGCTGCGGTCACATGCTCCGTTCGAGAACCCGTTTCGCATGCAGGAACATATCCTCGACTGCAATCACATGCCCACCTGACTACAGCAGCTGCGTGGTCCCACAGACCAATTCAAGTGCTTTTTGCAGCCAGTGCGGTTCCTTCTGCACCACATGTGACAAGCCACCACCAGGTAAGGCTAACCTTATGCAGGTGGCTACTGCTTTCACAGCCCATTTTTGCTTTGCTCTCATTAGCACTAAGAGGATGAACAATGCATAGCCACCTACTTAGCTAGCTTTTCCACTGTCAGGTGCGGTAACAATTACAGCTTCGCTACTCCTCAGTATGTGCTTCTGTTGTATGCATCCTCATGGCTTTTACTGAAGAATACGTGTTTCCATCCTTCATTGCCTTCCTTTGCTTCCTCCCCCCATGCAAACTGTGCCTGATGCCACATCCACTTTCACCAAGCCAACCGCCATCCTCATGTTTGATTGCCTTTTCCCTTCCCTCTCTCTGTCTTTCTACCCCATAACTGTACCCTCCCCATCGTCAGTGCCGAAACCCTCCCCGTCGCCAGTGCCAACACCCTCCCCATCGCCAGTGCCAACACCCTCCCCGTCGCCAGTGCCAACACCCTCCCCGTCGCCAGTGCCAACACCCTCCCCGTCCTCAGTGCCAACACCCTCCCCATCGCCAGTGCCAACACCCTCCCCATCGCCAGTGCCAACACCCTCCCGGTCGCCAGTGCCAACACCCTCCCCGTTGCTAGTGCCAACACCCTCCCCGTCGCCAGTGCCAACACCCTCCCCATCGCTCATGCCAACACCTCTACCCGTCGCCAGTGCCAACACCCTCCCCGTCACCAGTGCCAACACCCTCCCCATCGCCAGTGCCAAAACCCTCCCCGTTGCAAGTGCCAACACCCTCCCCGTCGCCAGTGCCAACACCCTCCCCGTTGCCAGTGCCAACACCCTCCCCATCGCCAGTGCCAACACCCTCCGCATCGCCTGTGCCAACACCCTCCCCATCGCCAATGCTAACACCCTCCCCGTCGCCAGGGCCAACACCCTCCCCATCGCCACTGCCAAACCCCTCTCCACCTCCTCCAACGTCATCTCCCTGTGAGCCTACAACCTCTCTCTCCCAAACTGGAGGCGGTTTATCTTGCGGAGCCATTGCTGGCATTGCTGCTGCTGGCACCTTGGCTGTCCTCGTGCTGCTGGTGCTGCTGACCTGGCTTCTGTGGAAGCGATACCGCACCAAAGGGGCAGCAGGAGGAGACAATACTAGCACCAATGTGGATGGCAAGAAATCACTAAATAACATTTTGTTTCAAGGTAAGATATTTACGTAGATGCTGAGCCTAGATGAAGCAATAACAAGGCAAACGCCAGGCAATCGAAAGAAAATCAGAGTATCATCAAAATCAGAAGATCATAAAAAAAATCCAAGAGTAAAAGCAACAAATGCATCTGCAATTTCTCACCATGAAACATTCCAAGTCCTCCCAGATTTCAAGCCTTCTTCTTGGTTGGGTCTGACTCATGAGTTTTGGGTTAAAGACTCAGAATCACTGGTCCGAACCTTATTTTTGGGTTGCGGCGCAAAACCCCACAAAATTGCATGTAATGGCACTGTCTTTTGCTTGCCACTCTATGCGAAATAGTCATGAGGAATGAGACAACCAGACTGGCTAGTTTTTTTTTTTTTTTTTTTGCAGAATGTGAATTGCCTAGTCACAAGTTCGGAATAATGGGTCTGGGTCAAACTGGGCAGGTTTGGTTCTAGTTGAACGATCAAAATTCAAGCTGGATATCTGGATTGGGGTTCATTGCCATGGTATCACACAACCACACAGGTATGGTGTTGAGATGGCAGTACAAAAAGTTGGCGAAACTGTTCACCATGGATGTGACTGAATTCACCTTCTTGTAGAAATTCATCCAGCCTTTACCTCGACTTGTCAGGAATCAATGACAGAAGCAATGGTGCTTGCTGGTCCTTCCTGGGTCATTAGCAATCCAGCTACAAATGCATGTGCAATTTCTCACCATGGAACATTCCAGGTACTCCCAGATGTCAAGCCGTCTTCTTGGTTGGGTCTGACTCATGAGTTTTGGGTTAAAGACTCAGAATCACTGGTCCGAACCTTATTTTTGGGTTGCAACGCAAAACCCCACAAAATCTATGCGAAATAGTCATGAGGAATGAGACAACCAGACTGGCTGATTTTTTTTATTTTTATTTTGCAGAATGTGAATCGCCTAGTCCCAAGTTCGGAATAATGGGTCTGGGTCGAACTGGGCAGGATTGGTTCGAGTTGAACGATCAAAATTTAAGCTGGATATCTGGACTGGGGTTCATTGCCAGGTATCACACAGCCACAGGTATGGTGTTGAGATGGCAGTACAAAAAGTTGGCGAAACTGTTCACCATGGATGTGACTGAATTCACCTTCTTGTAGAAATTCATCCAGCCTTAACCTCGAATTGTCAGGAATCAACGAATGAAACAATGGTGCTTGTTGGTCCTTCCTGGGTCATTAACAATCCAGAGTAGGTGGTTTAAATTCCCAGGCCCCTTGAATTATCGGTCTTCTCTTTCACGTTCACCATCTTTTATCTCTTTGCAGTACCAAATAATGAGGATGAGGACCCAGCAGCAGCGGAAGGGGAGGCCGCAGCAGCTGCAGCAGCTGCCGCAGCAGCGCTACCATTACCAGCAGTACAAGGGATGCATGGTGATGATTTTGTGGTGGAGATGGAGGCAGCACGGCCATACGTGTGTCGAGAGTACTCTTTGGCAGAGATGTCTAAGGCCACAGGAGATTGGGCAGAGGGGAACAGGATAGGAAGTGGTAGCTTTGGGGATGTTTACAAGGGTGTCTCGCCCCACGATTGCAATCAAGCCTGGGCAGTCAAGCGAGCTCGAGTGCTCACGAACGACTTCCAAAGAGAGGTACCATGGTGTGAGTTTTTGTTGATATGTTAGTGGCACGTTTCTCATTAGTTTCTTCTGCCAACCCCAAGCATAGCTGGTGGTCTGATTATTCAATCTCCTTCGATATGTTTACTGTTTTCCCTCTCAGGTGAAGGAGATGGCAAGCAAGCACCATCCGCATTTTGTGCGTCTGTTGGGCTATTGCATCGACATCGACCTCTCCACACGACTCATGGAGCAGATCCTCGTTTACGAGTTCATGCCCAACCACGACCTTGAGAGCTGGATTGATTCTGGTGTCTCCCATCCTCTTTCACTTCGTCAAAGGCTTGACGTTCTGATTGGAGTGGCAAAGGGGTTGCAGTATCTTCATGACTTCGGCATTGTGCATCGCGACATCAAACCTGCCAACATTCTCCTTGATGCAAAGATGCAGGCATGTCAATATTGTTGTAGGCCTTGCTGTACATGGTGAATGATGCCTACTTGTATCCATCCCTTTGCAACTATCATGTGGTGTTTTGCACCGCCTCGCATGCTCTGAATCTTTCACATCAATGCTCTTGTTGTCCATGAGCAGGCCAAGATTGCAGACTTTGGGCTTGTGAAGCTTGGTGGGGGCACTGCTATGGGCACGTCTGTGGCTGCCACTCGAGTGATGGGAACACCGGGCTATGTGGACCCTGCGTATTTCAAGTCTCATAAGGCCACTCCAGCAGCAGATGTGCATAGGTGAGCAATTTGGCACAGGTGAGCAGATTGGCACAGGTGAGCAGATTGGCACAGGTGAGCAGAGTAGGTTATGCTTGCAAATCCATGCAAGTTATAATGGCATGACAAAACAGTGAAGGTTAGCAGATGAGCACTTTGGCATGAGAATACTGTTCAAGGAGGCATCCAAATTTGATGAGAAATGCTCATGAGTCTCGTTTTTTCTAGGGAAGATAGGGTTTGGGTTTCGGGCTTGCATTGATTTCTATGTTTCCTTTGCCTCACAATCAAAGAAGGTCCATGCCTGACATTGAAGCCATTTCCAGGCGTTCTTACCAATCGAGTAGCTTGGTGATGCTTGGTGATGGGGCTTGCGTGACGATCACTTCTGGAATGATTGGGAAACAAATTTCATTGTAACCATAAAGCTTTTGTACATTTGAGCGTGATTTCAAGTATGATTCCTTTGTTTATTTCTGGGTTGCAGTTTTGGCGTGGTGATGCTGGTGGTTATCACGGCGCGCAAGGCTGTCCATGTAACAGAGGACAACCAGATCAATCTCAAACAATGGGTGAGAGACAGAAGTGTATCATGCCAAGGATGGCAGATCTTGTAACACAACGTATGAGAAAGCCAGCTGCACTGCGTAGTGAGTTTGCTTGATAATATCAATGTTTCCTTGTTGCCCTTAGCCAAACATATGTAGGCCAATTCATGTTCTCCTTACCTCCATTCCCAACAGGATACATGCTGCAATGATTAAGACGATCACTTACCTTTGAATCACACCTTGTATCTGTAATAGGATTCACCTTCCTATCATCCTGCTTTCTATGTAGCACTAATTTCCTATGATCATACATCATTCCATCAATCTCTGCGTTGCCACATTTCTACCATTCTTCACAGGTTTTATTTTAATGTGAAACTCTGTGAATATATGGTATCACCAAATTCCATGTGATCTATGCATTTAACCTCGCAGGTGGCCTCGTTGGTGGACTCCGGTGCTGTATTGGCATTCAAGGACCCTCACTTGGACGCACAAGATGACTTGGTGCTGCGCTGGGCTCGCCTTGCCCTCTCCTGCACCGCCATGCCTGCAGCCTCCCGCCCCTCCATGAATCAAGTGCTTTGGGAGCTGGTGAAGTTGAAGCAGGAGGCGTCCGGAGCACACGAGGGCCATGTGGGCGAGGCCAAATCTCGCATTGACATGGAGCTTGGGAGCTCCATTGGCTCCTCCAGCTTCAGCTGCTGAAATGGCCCGTGCGGAGCGCGAGGGGGGCATGCCAAGTGGCTCTTCCACATAATCAAGTTTGTTTTCACAGGTAGCTTACTGGTTTACCTTGTGCTTCTGATGCCAATTGTTTGCTTCATATGAAAACATGGTATGGGACACTTAGGAACACTGACACGGGCTGTGGAAGGGATACTGGTAGCATCTTTTGATGAGCACAAAAATGGGACAGGAAAATTGGGCTGTGTAGTACACTGTAGCTTCGGCTTGTCCATGGGCCAGATTTTATGCTTGTCACCTTCTTCCTGAAACTTTTAGCTGTTGCATGCATGATTTTCTGGATTGTGAATTAGATTCACGTATAGGGTTGTTTTGGGGTTTTTAGACAGAATATCGATCTTCAAACATGAAGCTTGAAAAGCTAAACATTCCTCTGTATATCCCCTGTCCCTCTCCCCACTCACATGCCGCCTCTCCTCTCACACCAGCACTCCTTTCATACCCACCACTCCTCTCATACCCACCACTCCTCTCATACCCACCACTTCTCTCACACCCCCCTATCCACTCTTACCCCCCACCCATACCATTCCCCAACCCCAACTCCTACCGTCATCGCCCGGATAGTAGACATATATGTCTTATCTCGTACACGGGCAAAAATGCTGGGGTTGTCTTGTATTTGGGACGATTTAGGGTGTCTTATAACTCTTATAAATGGAGAAAGAACTGTTTAGAAGATACCCCCTCGCTATAAGATTGCCCCTAACCTCTACACTGGCTTAACGCGTACACACAAATAGGTGCCTTATAATGAGGCGAGCTTGTTTATAAGAGACACCCGGAAAATAGACAACCCCTGTCTACTATTCGACACTGTCTACTTACCGGGCAATGACGGTATTATACTCCTCACTCGTCTCATAAACTCCCTCCTTTCGTAAACCCCACTTCTGTCATGCCTCTATATTCCTCTCATACCCCTAAACTCCTACCATACCCCCTCTGTTACTCCTCACTCCTCTTAAACCCCCCACTCCTCTCATACCAGCCTCCTCTTGAATCCCCCACTCCTCACACATCCCCTCTTTTCATAACCTTCACTCCTTTCAAACCTCCACTGCTCTGATAAACCTGGTTCCTCTCATACCCCTCACTCCTCTCATACCCACCATAACCTCTATGCCCCTCATTCCTCTCATACACCCCACTCACCTCATAACCACCACGATTCTATTACCAGCCATGCCTCTCATACCCCCCTCTCCACCATCTCCCCACTCCTCCCATACCCCCAATTCCTCTCATGTCCCCAACTCCGTTTACACACCCCAATTATGTCATAGACCCCACTCATCTCATACCCCCCACTCTTCCCAATCATTTTATTCCAAGTAGTCGCTGTTTCTTATGCTCTTGCTTTCTATGCATGCGCTCCTGCATTGAGCCTTTGGACTCCTGCACCATTGTCTCGTCCACTCCCTCCATGCACGATGGATATTTTGGATTAGAAACATCTGTGCAAGAGCAAGATGCTTGCACTAGACTTCTACTGGTGTTTTGAAATTATAAAGCCTGTTCATAAAAAGTGCTATCGTACCGACCATAAGCTTGATAGATATTTGTGAATTGTGCATAGAAAAATGGTGTCTTTGATTAGATCTCCTAGCCTGATTTGTCACTGACTGTGCTAACACACGTGACATCTTCCAAGCTAACCAATTTGTAACATTTCTGATTAATTACTCTCTATTCTAGATGAAAACACATCATTCAAACAAGGAACTGTAGATGGTTGTGAACCATTTTAGTTTGGAACAATGCAAGTTACTGTGTTGTGGAATGGATGGAGCACGCACAGTCCAAGGTTAATGAAATCTTTATTGATACAATTTGTAGTTTGAACCATAATGTATCCTTGCAGCTTGACTACGAACTCAGCCTTCAAGTGCCAAGAAATCATGAACGTACCGTAGTCTTCCGGATAAAACACCCCCCTGTAATTGTACACCCCCGGGTAGCTAATACGGGGTGGGTGTTATATCCGACCCCGTTCGTACTATACCCCCCTTTTTGGGGTGATTCTCTATAACACCCCCCTTTTCTTATATATTCCTATTATAGCTGTTATCGAATCCGATTCCTTATGGGAGGATATCGCGAAAATCACTCCCTAGAAGAAATTTTGCATGTACTTTCACTTAGAATCAGCCGAGATATCCTTCCTCCCACAATCCCGCTGTCGCCACGCTGGTGAATCCCAAAATCTCGCTGTCGCCACGCTGGCGAATCTTCCACTGCAAGTGGTCCAAGAGGTGAAGTGGCCCAAGTGGCCCACAATATCCTCGTACTTCGGTTTTGCGGCATTGATCAACAATCTTGAAGTGAAGTCAGACCCCTGATTTTGTTTCACATCTTTTTTGTTTTATAAAAAATATACCATATCATAAGACCCGGGTAATATATCGTCATACCCCGGATATACCCCCATGGGGGGCAATAATAAAGCAGGTTTTTTAAGGGGGGTGGGCTTATAATCGAGTAAATTTATAAGCGCCGGCGTTTATAAAATGACATATATGTTTTTATATATTTTCGAACACCATGTTGTAAATCTCGTGCTTGCCTTTTCAATCGAGACGAAGTTACATGGGGTCGTCTGAAATTCTCGCGCGCGCAGGGAGGTACACCCAATCTGACTCACATCCAGGCTCCTGACAGCTCATGAGAGCTCCTGCTGACTGGACCCGAATCCAGTGCAAGGGTCCAAATGTGAAGGGAACCGAATCTGCAAAACATCTGCCTACTAAAGTAGAAATCGTTAAAGCGTTTTGAACACATTTCAAAAAAATAAGCTTATAATAAAACAAGTTTTTTCAGGGGGTGCGCTTATAATCGAGGCAGGGGATATAAGCGCCATATGCCAATTAGAAGCGCCAGGCGCTTATCCTAGGGTGGCGCTTATATCCGGGGGGTGACGGTATAGGATTTTCCTTTGAGGAGACCCCCCCCCCCCCCCCCCCCCCCGATTTTTTTCCAGTGGTTTTCATAATACCCTAGGGTGTTTTATCCGGGAGAATACGGTACGTTTTTCATGGCAGGAAAAAAGGCAGGGAGGTGAGGAATCTGAATGCTAAGAAGTAGGGCACACTTTCTAATAATGTACCTAACCTCTCATGAGAGCCAGTTCAGCATCGAGAGTCCCCTGCTCATTGTTCTGGGTGCCAATCTTGGCCTTGTGGCTGCTAAATATGGCTTGTTGGGGATAAAGCGCCAATGGTACGTAGGTCAGTTGGTTGCTGACGGTAGGGTGGGGGAGGACAAAGGGTAGTGTGGGAGATTGTGGGTATCTCGTGTTTGTGGAAGGCATGGCCCTGCATCATACCTGCACCCACGACTGGCCTCAGACTGACATGAGGCTGACATGAGACTGACCAGAAACTGACCAAAAGACTGACCCGTGTTTGACCTTAGACTGACCTGAATTTGACCTTATTTGACCTAAGACCAACCTGAAACTGATACGAGACTGACCTGAAATTGACCTGAAATTGACCTGAGTTTGACCTGAGAGTGACCTGAAAGTGACCTGAGAGTGGCATGAAAGTGATATGAGACTCTCATTATGAGAGTTTCTAGAGCGACCTGAGTGTGACCTGAAAGTGACCTACGACTGACACAAAACCTTCTCCCCCCATGTACTTGACTGGCGAAGCTAAAGAAGGCATTGAACACAAAGGGCATGCTACACGGGCCAGGGTTGTCGATGAAAAGGAAGAGGCAGATGGGCGCTGCACTGTGCTGCTCCTGACGTGTTGCTGGTGGGGGGCGTGAGGATGATGGTGCCATTGAATGGTTGCGCTGCTGCACCTGCCAGGGAGACTGCTGTTGTCTGTGATGATTTGGTTGAAGGGAGAATTGCAGGGTTATCCAGAGCGAGGCAAGGCAGATGGGTGCAAACGGAACGGAAGAACTATGCTTGGATGTAAATAAATCAACACCAGGAGTTCGAGAGGTTTCAACTGCGATGCAGCTGTAATGGTAACAATTATGAGGAATAAGCAGGGTATGCAACGCAATCAAAGGGCACAACAAGAGAGTGCAATCTGCTTCTTACACCAGATCACTCAGTCTCTCCCAAAACTTGTGTATACACACCACTGTAAGAGCACGAGGGCAGTCCGGCCTGGTTGTCGAAGTTGCTATCGTAGGTGTATACTGATTCCTGCACAGACTCACTGAAGGAGCACATGCCATGCCCGCTGCACAGGGGTTGGCAATCCCCAGCAGAAACCCCACAGAACGCACCACACTCCTCTGCACTCCTCTGCTCCAAGTAGTCTCCAGGCGCCCGGGATGCGTTGAGCAGACAATGCTCAAAGGCGTTGCCAAAGTAGGTGTGGTTGGCCTCGGGCGGGATGATGGTCCCGTGGAAGAAGAAGTTGCGGTGGGTGTAGGGTAGGTAGGGCGGGAACTGGTTGGCTGCAGGTAGGGCGACAGGGGCAATGGCAGTCACCCTGTCACTGGTTGGCTGACATGTCACTGTAAAGAAGGGGGGGCGAGGGCAGGGAGAGCCAAGGCGAGGAATGGCGCATGAGCAGGGGTGTGACAAGAGTGGGTGAGAAGTGAGCACGCACAGGGTGGTGCAGACGAAAGATGCAGTGTTCTGTTGGAAGAATGTGTTTGATGCTGGTCAGCAATTACCAGCGCGCAAGCAGATCAGCCTTGAACATACAGATAAACCATCGGACCAAAGGAAGGGGCTTGGTGTAAACCATCGGACCAAAGGAAGGGGGTTTGGTGTAAACCATCGGACTAAAGGAAGGGGCTCGGTGTAAACCACCGGACCAAAGGAAGGGGCTTGGTGTAAACCATCGGACCAAAGGAAGGGGCTTGGTGTAAACCATCGGACCAAAGGAAGGGGCTTGGTGTAAACCATCGGACCAAAGGAAGGGGCTTGGTGTAAACCATCGGACCAAAGGAAGGGGCTTGGTGTAAACCATAGGACCAAAGGAAGGGGCTTGGTGTAAACCATCGGACCAAAGGAAGGGGCTTGGTGTAAACCATCGGACCAAAGGAAGGGGCTTGGTGTAAACCATCGAACCAAAGGAAGGGGCTTGGTGTAAACCATCGGACCAAAGGAAGGGGCTTGGTGTAAACCATCGGACCAAAGGAAGGGGCTTGGTGTAAACCATCGGACCAAAGGAAGGGGCTTGGTGTAAACCATCGGACCAAAGGAAGGGGCTTGGTGTAACAAGCATTTTCAGTCCTATTTGTAGTCCTCCTTCCCAAACCAATGCTCTCTTAGAATGGGCTCTTTCAGGACCCCCTCAACACACCAAGGCAAGTAACAAATGGCACATGGCCCATTGGCACATGGGACCTGGGACATGGCAAATAGCACATGGTGCATGCCATATGCGATTCCCCTCATGCACGTGCAGCGTGACAAGGCTGGTCATATTGCGTGTGATGCCGTACACATCGCTAGAGAGGACATTCCTGTTCAGGTAGCTGGAAGAAAGCACATCGGAAGACAACTCATGAACGCGGTGTGCATGGCATGGCAGCATTTGGACTCCCATCTAGCAGGGTTGAGTCACTCAACTTGAGTGCGCTTCCTAAGGCCCTCAGCGGAGGTAGCATGGAGTGTTGTTGTTGCATGCAGTTGCGTTGCATACAAGCATGATTTCAACTACATGTCAAGGTTGGTAACTTGGATAAGTGTGATTGGACCAGACGCCAAGGGACACTGGATACAACAGCAAGCAGCCAGGGTGCACACGCAAAAAGCCCAAGTTCTGAAGGAGAATGATCTGGGGACCGTGCCCGTGAGCCCCACACCCTCCAGCTACCTGAACCCACAGCGTGGAAGACATCGTATGCACACGTAATACATCACAGACTATGATGATGGAACGATAAGGGAGTCCTTGAGTGAACGAGAGAGAGAGCATTCTATTGCAGTCTGCATATATGTCTTTAACACGCAATGTCTCAGTACCTTTCTGATGACTCTTGTCCTCAAAGCTACTGACATTGACTGATGCAAAGCCAAGGAGACTCGGAATCATACGTGCACAGGAGGTTGCACCAGCAACACACCAGGCAAGCAAGGCAAACACCAAGAGAGAAGCTACAGGGATGGGTTATGGTTGGCGAGATGTCAAGGTGACTCAGGGTTCCAATAGAGGGGCTAGGTTCCACCAATGTTTGACCGTGCCAGCTCCCTGTAAATACATGGCTTGATTAAACACTAGGTCGGGGATAAGAAAGGAGAGCATGATTTCAGCATGCTACAGGTGTCTCCTATGATGTGATAGGCCTGACAAGTAGCACGAGCGCTACAAACATCAGAGCGGACAAATGAGAGAGGTACCAGATAGTGGGTTTCGGCGAAATCCATTATCATAAACCACTGCCTCTGTCCTTAGGGCAGTGTCCTTATGAAGCAGGGGCCAAACCGGGGGAGTGGAGGTCTGTAGACTAAAATCTCGTTCTAGATCCATACACTATGTTTCGGCTGTACCCTGTGCACACAATGAATCGCTCGCAAGCATCAAAAATTGTCTATGATTGTATGTTGAATCCTAAAGCTATAATGATTGGTGTCAAGCGTCTATTCAAGACATTACTAAGGCTGGAGTACGGTAGGGAAAGAGGAATTTTCGGTGGAGCGGTGATTAGCCCAGAGATTGAAAAGAACACCGCACGCGCTCTCACAACTTGTGAGTCAGAGTTCCACGAGCAGATTCTTGGCCCCATGAAGTGACAGAATAAACGGCGTACATACCGTACTCATGGTGACTGCATACATGCTCATGATGACTGCATACATGCTCATGATGACCGCATACATGCTCATGATGACTGCATACATGCTCATGATGACTGCATTCATGCTCATGATGACTGCATGCATGCTCATGATGTCTACATACATGCTCATCAGTGTGGGTAGGGTGGAGATCTAATCAAGAATGGCGCCAGGGAAGTTGTTATTGTGCAGGTCGCTGCACGGCAGAGCACAGGATAGAGACAAATTCTTTTCACTCGGCTAAAAAGCACAGAGCTTGTAGTCGACTCTGAGGCAGAACAGGGGAACAGATGCAGTTGCATCGATCCATTTTAATCAATCTGACTTCTTTCAAAAGCTCGAGAAACATCCACATGGCCTAGGCGCTTAAGTAATATTGTTGAGGGCTGCAGCGTCACTTTATCAGACTCAAGGGGGCATTGCAATATCGTTATCTTGACAGGAGCGGAGCTTCACTGCCTTGCATGCAGCAAGGCGAGGAGGACAGTCAGAGCATGGCATGGCAAAAGGAGAGCCGCATGGTGCTATGAGTGAACAAATAACACGTGCAGATGCAACAGCAGGGTGGGCGAGGCAATGGGGTGGCTGACAGGATATCGAGGGTGGAGATGGTGCTGAGGGCAGACTGCTGTCCACAGTGAACCCGTTGACCGAAAGGCTCCTGCACATGGTTACAGGGAATGGAATGGACCACTGGCGATGCGTTATGTGCCCCACTGAGTGCTACGGACAACAAGATACACATGCATGGGATAGCCTTGGTAAAAGCAGAACCCAAAATATTCTTGCATGGTGCAGTGCTGAGTGCTAGCGCACAAGAATGCATGCATGCACACAACGCCCTGTACATAGTCCGCGCTGCACCACAGCAGTTCCCCTCCCTTTCGTCTTTCAATGTCTATCTGTTAGAATGTTGCATGTGCTAGTTAATACTACTGTAAGTGATACACCAAATGTGGTACACTTTGGCTCAAGTAGCCCCAACCGATTTTGGTTGACTGCTTCCCAACATTCTTGGACCATGTTTGATGGGGGGATCCCAAATAATGACAGGGCCATCCAATCAATTATTCCCCCCCCCATCCCCCAATGATGTTGGCCAATCATTGCGTGGTCAACCTAATTGACCCACCAATGATGGTGTGGGCACTCATCCAATCCGCCCACCGTTTCCTTTCCTATGCTAGCTGTACCTCCACCCCCAGACCCCCCACGCTGAGAGTACCATTCACGGAGCTGCTACGGTGATAGAGTCTCGCTAGGACGCTGCTGCTGCTGCCTCTCGCCACCGCCCAACCCCCCACGCTGCACCGCTCCACCGCGCCCGCCACCAGCTCCACTGCCGCCACCACTGCCACCACCACCCCCACCACCCCCACCACCGCCGCCGCCACCACCCCCTGCTCCGCCACTGACCCCCCCACCACCAGCACCACTCCCACCACCGCCACCACCCCCGCCCCCTCCACCCCCTCCACCACTGCCGCCCCCTCCGCCACCTCCGCCCCCCCTGCCCCCCTTGCCCTTGCCGCCCTTGTGCCTAGGGATGAGCAAATGGTGAACTCGAACACGTTTGGGTTCGAGTTCGCTCGAACATCAACTTTTCCCGAACCGAGCACAGTTCTGTTCGGCGAACAACTTAGGGTTCAAGAGCTGTTTGCCGTTCGCCCTTGGGGGCGAACATTTGGTATGTGTGGGGGAACTCGAACATGTTCGAACCGAACATGTTCGAGTTCGCCCTTGGCCACTTTCATTATAGTCACAATAGAGACACGGAATCTTGAAGGTTGGGAAGATAGATAGGGGGGTGGAGGGTGTATATATAATCATGCAACGCACACTAGCATACTACACCATCATGAAGTGCCTATATAAAAGTCACTGCCAAATTACATCCTACGCCTGCACACCACTTCTACTACCAACAACAGCATGCTCCGCGTCAGAGGTGTCGCCAGCACCCACCCCCACCTGCTCCTCCTCCCCCTCCTCCTCCTCCCACTCGTCGTCCTCCTCCTCCCTCTCGCCTTCAATGGCGAACTCTGGTGGTGCCTCGCCTTTTGCACGGCGGCCCTCGCCTATCCTCTGTCCAGGGTGTGAGGTGTACCATGATCTGAGAATCATGGAAGCTCGCGTCCTCTGAGAGGCTAGACGGTGCCGCTTCCAGGATAGGAGGTTGCGGCCGAGGGAGAACACGCGCTCGCTCGACACGGACGTGGCAGGGATGGCAAGATAATCCCGGGCCATGCGCCTCAGCGTCTGCATGTTGGTGGCGCTGCGCCAATACTCCAACGCTGACACGTCGCACCGCACCCTCTCAAATAAGTACCTGCCAACCTCGTCATCCTGCACCATCCCACCCCTCCCCGCCTCCTGGCTCGCCGACAGACGCGCCGCAAGGCGTCGGCGACTAGGGAGAAACTCGGCGTCTTCGTCGTCATCCGCCGCATCTCCCTCCTCCTCCTCTGTCACTGGGGCATGTGGGGTCGGCTGAGGGGCAATCGCTGCAGCCCAGGCCTGGTACTCGGCCACGCGTTCGCAAACCAGCAGGATCACCTCGCCTGACGAGGGACGAGGCCTCGCCCTCCGCTCTGTATCGGGATGCAGCGTCTCCCAGTGCGCGTCGTCGAACCACGCCGCCTTCATGGAAGGGTCCAGGAAGGTGGCGATCCACAACTCGTTGCTTGACATCAATTCATACTTCTTCAAGAGACCCAGCGCCGCCTCAATCATCGGCTTGAGCATAGCCGATGGCCCCTTGGCAAGGCGCGACTCCATAGCGTCGATCAGGCCGTTGTAGTACGGCAAGACCATCGACACTGTAGGGTACGCCTCTCCCTCTTCGGCCTTGGAGACTTTGGCGAATGGGCTGAGGAAGATCTTGACAGAATGCAGAGTCTCCCAGTCTGTGTCCGTCAGGCGCAGGGTGTCCATCTTCGCCTTGTCAGCCTTCGACACGCCTTGTCGGGTAGAACGTATGGGTGGGCGGGTGATAGGATGGAAAGTGGGGTAGTTGAGGTTGTTGGAGGTCCGAAAAGTTTAGTCAAGCATGGCCAACAGTGGTGCAAGTCCCAGAAGAAAACACCCTGACCGACATACCAACACATTAAACAGCATACACAACACCTGGCACACACACACACCTATGTCTGGGCAAAGAAGACAGAGATGGGTTCCTGCAGAACCCCGGCTCGCTCGACCATGTCGTGGGTCAACCCCCAGCGTGTGGGACTGTCCTGCACCAGCTTAAATGCTGGCTTCGGTTTGGCGGGGTTGCCCTGCGCGTTCAGAGTCCGCTGTAGGCCCAAGAACTTCCCTGAGCGCTGCGGCGAGTAGCCTATCTACGACGCCATCTCTCTCAGAATCTTCAGCAACTTGCGGATGGCGGTCACAGCGAGTGCTGCCTTCACTGCAAGGTTGATCACGTGTGCCAGGCATCTGCGCACATCATAAAACATTTATGGCGGAGAGAAAGGGAAGTGTGAGTACACATTGGCATAGATCCGAGACACACTACCACTCTCAAGCCGCATAGGCCCACCCGCCTGTACTACAACCACAACATGTTCACATCACAGGAACGACGCACCCAGACTCCCTCATCGCACATCCAACGCACACTCCCTTTCGTACCGGAAGTGCATGCGCGAGTTGAAGAAGCACTGGCCACCACCCTCCTCCGACATCTACCTGAAAGCGGCAGTGTTGCTGGAGGCGTTGTCTGAGGTGAACCCAAGACAACGTATCTCCAACTCCCACTGCACCACCGTCTCCTCAACCACCCTCGCCATCTGCTTGCCCGTGTGACGCCCGTGAATCTCGCGGAATTCAAACACCATTGTGCGCAGCTGGTAATTCTCGTCGATCCAGTGACCCGTTACCACTAGCCACGCCCTGTTGTTGGGCGACGTCCACATGTCGATGGTGAACGACACCCTGCACCCCAGCTCCCCCTCCTTCGCCAGCATCTCCGCGATGGCTGACTGAAGAGCGGCAGCCGCATAGACCACTGTGTCGCGGGAAACCGTCCAGCGCGTGGGGATGAAGTTTTTCTGCGCGCAGTTGCGGTTTAACAGGATGAGTAGCTCACGAAACTGGAGAGGGGAAGAGACAAGGGGGGAGAGGGGAGTACACGTTAGGGGGATGGGATGAAAATAATATAGCACTGCACTGGGCCACACACAAACTGATGTAAGCAGAATGGGACAGACACCTCCACTAACCACATACTTGCCCAATCATGCATGGGATGGGATGGGGCACTTACAGCCTCGGCCTCGACGATGCGGAAGGGGAGGTCGCAGGTGACCACCAGCTTCGTGATCGCCTGCCGTAGCTGCACCGAGGTCAGCTTGGTTGTCATCCACCGCTCGATCCCTCCTGACCCATCACCTCCACCAGTCGCCATCGCTTTCCCCTTGGCGAGCTACGGCCAAGTCTTGGCATGTGGCCACTGATAGACGTAGCCATCCGGCACTCCCTTGTAGCCCCCTCGGGGAAACGTCTCCCCTGGCAAGTGAACGGACAGGGTGTGGTAACGGTGATGCCACACATGCATGTGCGCAGTGTGGAAGCTCGCAAAGTGCCGCTCGCCCAGGGTTGTTGTGGATTGCTTCCACGAAATCCTGTCTGTGCAAATCTTGCACTGACGCTTATCGTCTGCCCCTAACGGTCCGAACATCATAACTTGCCACCCCGGCTTCCTATTACCCTTGCCAGTCCCCTTACTACTCTCGGACCCTCCGTCCTCGTCTAAAAACTCGGGAGCGATCACACCCTCGCCCAAGGGCTCCCCAGTGAACGTGCAGGGATACGCCCGCTCTCTCAACTTGTTCGCTTTCTTCCTTTGCCTCGGCTCCCTAATGGTCACGGCCTTTCCCCCCCCCCACCTTAACCCCCACGCTCCCTCCCCCTTCACGCACATGCTGTGATCCCGCCTCTGTCGCCGCCCTTCCACCACCCTCTCCCACCTCCTCCTCTGGCCCCTCTGGCTCCAACCCATCCATCTCGTGGTCTTCATCATCATCATCTCCCCCCTCCCCACCGCCATGCGTCTCTGGGTCCCACGCCGCCTCGCTGTCATCCTCGCTCCCCTCAGTGTCCTCCTCCTTCTCGCCCTCACCATCCTCCTCCTCATCCTCCTCCTCACTGCCGCTCTCCGGCTGCGTCGGCGTCTGCCCCGAAGGAGGGGGCCGAGGGCCGTCATAACAGAAAGAGCGACAAGAGCTCGGCGCTGGTACGGTAAGCAACCCCCCAACGAAGATCGCGCCGGCTCCTCCCGGTCCATCCCCTACTCGCCCCTGCATAGGTCGTGGTGGAGATCCCGGTGCGCTGCCCTGAGCCCTGCCTGCACCTCGGCCTATGGATCCACCACCCCTGGAAGCCATCACTCCGCCCTCGACCCTAAACCCTAAAACCCCCTAAGGCAACGTTAGCGTTGGATGGTGCCGCACGTTCCTAATGCCCGATCCGAATCCTACGGCGAAGGATACGCCCTACTTGAGCCCTTTGCGGAGATGCTCGCTGAACCTTACTAGAAACCCTAAACTCCCTACTCTACGTTAAACCCTATGCATAGATGTTCTATCTAATGTTCGTTTACACTCCAAGTATTAACGTGCACTTGCTTGCACCTAGAACAAGGAGGCTAGGGCGGCTGTGTGAGGGAGCGCTAAAGCCTAAACAACTTCTGAGTTTGAGCTCACAAAATGAGCTCTAACAAAAATTGGCCGCGACCAGAATCTGGTCGCGGCCAATTTTGACGCGAACACTTTTGGTGTTTGCGTCGAATCCCAGCCGAACACGAACATGTTCGTGTTCGGCTTGGAGAGGCAAAATCCAAAGCCGAACGTCGAACATGTTCGGCCGAACACCGAACATGTTCGGCCCGAAAAATTTAGCCAAAAAAAAAAGCCTGTTTGGTTCGCCTCGAATATGTTCGAGGCGAACCGAACAGGCGTTCGGGATCTTGCTCATCCCTACTTGCGCCTCCCACTAGGAGCAAACGCAGCCCCGACCCCCTCAGCACCGAGGTAGTCGATAGCAGCAGCAGATGCAATGGAGGGGAGGAGGGGGACGGGGGGGCACCCCTCAAAGAAGGGAGCGCGAGGGTCGCCGCGAGAGGTACCTACAGCTACAATGCTCTTCTCAGCTGCTAGGAGTTCATTCTCGAGCAGGTCGACAGTGAGTTCGGTGGGGGAGAGGGCGAGAAAGTGGTCCCTGATGGTGCGAAAGGAGTTAGGGAGGCGGGTGATTAGGTGGTAGAGTGTGAGGTACATCGGGGGAGGGTTCTTGGCTAGGAAATCGGGGGGAAGCGTGGCACGGTAGCGGAGATCACTAGTACGGAAGTGAGTGATGAGGTCAGCTACAGTGGCAAAGGCAGACAGATCGGGGAAGAGATAGGGCAGCGAGAGACGGCCTATCGCAGCAGTAGCAGGGGAGGAGTAGCGTGCAACTATAGCATCGTACAGCTCCTTAGCGGTCTTATGCTGGCCAAAATGCTCGCGCTCATCTAACGGCAGGTGACTGCGAACGGCTAGGCGACCATGAGCGTCACGGGTCTGCCACTGTGAGCGAGTAGCAGCAAGTGCGGGAGCGGCGCCGGACGTGTGGTCAAACAGGGAAACATCGTCCTTGGCAGTGATTTGGAGGAATAGGAGCAGGTCATCGAGCCAAACGTCAAACTTAATCGGACGGCCCTCAGCGTCAAAAGTGAGAACGGTAGGACTGGCCATAGTGGCAGTAGCAGCAGTAGGAACAATAGCAGCAGTAGCAGTAGTAGCAGTAGCAGTAACAGGAGCAGCAGGTGCTGCAGGTGGTGTGCAATAGGGCGGCGCGGCTCGGTCAGGGCAGCGCGGCTCAGTCACGGCGGCGCGACTCGGGCAGGACGGCGCGGCACGGCTCGAGCAGGGAGGGTGGGCCGGCGCGCGGTCTGCGGTTGTGCGGGATGGCGGCCTACGTGGGGGCTGCAGCGTTCGCGGTGGCGGCGGCCTATGAGGGGGCGGCGGCCTACGAACGGGCGGCGGCCTACGGGCGCGAGGCGGCGGCGCGCGACGGTCGACGGGCAGCTCGCAGGCTGCGCTAGGGACCGCGCGAGGCCAGGGCAGGCTGCGCGCAGGCGGCGTCGAGTGCGTGGGCGGCTAGGGGGGTCGCGCGCACGAAAAAAAGGGCTGCGCGCGGGCAGTTAGCGGGCTACGCGCTCGAAAAACAAGCCGCGCGCGGGCAGCTAGCGGGAGAAGTAGGGCGCGCGAGGGCGCACTAGGAACGAGGCGCACGAGGGCGCTAGTGAGGGACGGCGCACGAATGCGCTTCTAGCGAAACGGTAGGCCCTTAGGAAAAACGGTCCTAGGTTCCTAACCTAGGCTCGTAATACCATGTCAGAATGAGAGAAGTGATTGAACTACGAAAAGGTTGGGTACAAGTAGGAAACTCTAAACTTACTGTACCCCATAGTAACTACCCCACTACAGCCTAAACAAACTGTAGCACGTATAACATTTGACAGCCTAAACTAACAGTGTTCAGTTCGGCAGAAGGCCATGTTCGTCAGGGGGCGAACACGAACATGTTCGAGTTCGCCCCCTGCTCATGCCTAGAGCAGGACAGGCACAGCTTCAGTACTTCTACCACGCACAAGTCAAAGCACGAGTTGGCATGTCAAGTGGTATGGCAACAGGTGCAGCTGCATGTACTTGCGTTCGCTGATTGAGCCCTTGCGGACCATGGATTCGCTGGATGCCTTTGTGTGTTTCTTTGTTCTTCACTTGCCCTCCCTTGCTACTTGAACCGTTCATCCTGTAGAATGAGGATCGGTGAACTTGAGGCACAATGAGAGAAGAACAATATATCCTTAGTAGGAAGATGGTACAAGCCTGAAAGGCTAGAGCAATGTCCTTTCCAAGGATGAGTTCTAGAGAAGTGGGAAGCCACATTTATGTGGCTGAACTCTTGAGGCTAGCTGCAGCACCTCAAAGCTGAGGGCAGGGCTAGCCAACCTTGCCAAGCTAGCAATTGAGGCCACATGTTGCACATGTGGGCCAGGCTGGAACAACAGCCTACATGGCAGCATGTGGCACATCATAGGAGCCAACAAGGTGAGTATGGGATGGGTGGACAGATGGCAATGCCAAATGTGACCACACTTCACTGTGGGTGAGTGTGGTGGAGTGTGGGAGTGTCATGTTCGGCATAATGAGAAGAGAAGGTGCTGCCGATGAGAGTTGAACCCGCGACCACTAAGACAAAAGGTACCCACTGGGACATTCTTGCTTCCACAACACCCCCCCTCAAGGATGTCCCCGGGGTAGGGTGCCTCAAGAGGAAACATGGGTGAGACCGAGAAGACCACGGATGCGAAGAAAAGGGTCACGGGGCAAAGGCTTGGTCCCAATGTCAGCAAGGTTGTCTTGAGTAGGAACATAGTGAAGGGTGATGGAGTGGTCGGCAACATGATCGCGAATGAAATGGTGCTTGATGTCGATGTGCTTGGCCTTGGGATGAAAGACGCCATCGTCCTTGGCGAGAATGATGGCACTGTTGTTGTCACACGAGATACGGGTGGGGCCGGTAGGGGGAAGTCCAACTGCAGTAAGGAGCGAACGAAGCCATAATGCCTCGTGCACCGCGGCGCCCAGAGAGTAATATTCAGCTTCACATGAAGAGATAGCAACGACGGCTTGGCGTTTGGACTGCCAAGAGATGAGTGACGGACCGAGGAAGAACAAGTAGCACGTAACGGAGCGACGCAGCTCCCCCTCCGGTCCCCAAGAGGCGTCACACCAGCCATGAAGTTCGAGGGTGTCGGGAATGCCACCAAGGAGAAGCCCAAGGGAGGTAGTCCCTTTCAAGTAGCGAGCAATGCGTTTGGCAGCCGAGACGTGAGGAGTAGACCAATCGTGAAGGTGACGAGCAAGAAGTCCAGCGCTATATGCGAGGTCGGGACGGGTCCCCACCATGGCATACATGATGGAGCCGACAAACGAGGTGTAGGGGAAGGAGGAGGAGTGCGGGGAGGAAGTCACGGGTGGCTGAAACTTTGTGTCCATGGGAGTGGCAGCGGGGTTCAGTGGAGAGAAGGAGTAGGTGTCTAGAATGGAGGTGATGAATTTGGATTGATGAAGGTGGAGAGTGCGGGAAGTTCGATCACGAGTGATGTGAAAGCCAAGGTAGTAGGAGAGAGGTCCGAGGTAGAAGGGTGTGTAGGAGGAGGTAGTGAGGAGGATGTGGGTGGAGATGACGATGGAGGGTCGCGAGAGTCGTCGGAAGGCGGTGCAGAGGGCTCCATGAAGATGACATCACGAGAAAGGATGACACGGTGCTGAGATGGGATATAGATGCGGTAAGCTTTGGTGCCGTCGAGATGACCATATCCAACCATGATGCCGGCCGTGCTTCGGTCGTTGAGCTTAGAACGCCGTTGGGAAGGAATGAGGACCGAGACGGGTGAACCGAAGATGCGGAGGTGTGATACATCCGGACGTGCACCGGTCCATAGTTCCATGGGAGTCTTAGAAGTTGAACCACCCCGACTAATGGCATGATTACGAAGATAGGCAGCAGTAAGAGCGGCTTCACCCCACCAGCCTTTGTCCATGTGTGCATCATGGAGCATGGAACGGACCATCTCAAGTAAAGTCCGGTTGGCCCGCTCAGCTACTCCATTTTGCTCAAGTGTGTATGGCGTGGAGAGGTGGCGGGCGATGCCATGAGCTGTAAGGAATGAAGTGAAGGCTTTGGAAGTGAACTCCAAGGCACCGTCAGAGCGAAAGGTTTTGATGGTGTGTGGGGAATGCATGTTGTGCACCCGAGTGACGTAAGCCTTGAAGCATGAAAGTGCCTCCGACCGGTGGCGTAGGAGATACACTGTAATGTGGCGGGAGTAGTCGTCGATGAAGGTGAGAAGGTAGCGAGCGCCGCCAATGGTAGTTCCATATGAAAGCGGTCCAGCAATATCTGAGTGAATGAGTTGGAGTGGGGCTTTGGTGCGAGAATGGGACACGCCAAATGGCTGATGTGTTTGTTTCCCACGATAGCACGAGATGCAGGGGGGAATCGAGGTGGAGGAGAGGTGAAGACCGGTGACCAGCTGCTGCCGATGAAGTGTTGACAAGGCCTGCATGTTGAGATGCCCGAAACGACGATGCCAGCGGTACGAGGAGGTGGTGGTGGAGGCTGGACATGCAGTTGGCTTGATAGAAGGAGCAGCACTGCTCCCATGATGCAGTTGAAGATAAAACAGATTGTTGCGGGTGTAGCCCTCGCCAATAGGAACGTCATCAGATGTGAGAACAACGCGCCCAGCAGCGGGGAACGAGACGGCAACGCCGGCAGCACCAAGCGCACGAACAGAGAGCAGGTTGTGAAGTGATGAAGGGAGAAATAGAACGTT